GATTCATTCATTTTTCTGGACTGAATAATATCGTGCATTGAAATTAAATGTGACGTGAGACGTTAATTTTCTTTGACCCATCAAATGAATGCGGTCATTTATTAACAGAATCAAGGTTTAACATCACACATTTATATTAATTTGGCAAATTGATTTCAACAACAGCTTAATTAATTAGCTTCACAACTAGGAAACCATAAACATGGTATCCTTGCAGCTTTACAACAAACATTTCTGAAAATATCTGGATTAATTGCTGGCAAGACAGAAGAGTTTTAAAGATGGAAATGAAGTTTAAATTGAGAGAGATGGGTGAAGGAATTTGTCTGTTATAACCAGAACAACACGCTCCTTCTGGACCCAGCTTAACCAACGGTACACTTTGCGGTTGAAGATCGACTCTTTTACCTTTGCAGACGATAGTTCGGCCTCGGTGTAGAGTTCTCTTTCAACGCTTTACAGCGTCTCCGTAAGGATAGTAGGGAACCGTTCGGAGTCGTGAGATCATCCCAGAACAGACTTCTTCATAGTTCCTCTGAACTTCTCTCGTTCAGCTTAGTTGCCGTTTTCTCCAGCATTCTGAACTCTGCATTCTCTCTCCGCACTCTCTCCACACTCTACTGGAACTAGGAAGTGTTGAACCTTTTAAAAAGTTCTGTTTCCGGTTCATTTGGGAACTTCCTGATTGGCTGAAAGCGCTAATCAGGGGTGTGTTTTTGTGACGTAAGAGGTCACTAAAAGTCAGAAAAACAGAAAGAATGTTTTGGAACAGACAGAAAATGTTTTTGAGACAGACAAGAGAAATGTTTAGGCGAGTTGGGAGGAAACAGGTGCCAGCTTCTCTATTTATGTCTGAGAGGATTTAAAAACATGACAGTTCGTTCCAACAAACTTGTTTGCGTTTGTCTCCGACATTTGACCGACATCACAACTTGCTCATTTCAGACAGAAGATCAAGAAAATGAATAATTACTCTGTAACACATTCTAACTTGATTTCTACTTTGAATGAGGATTAAAAAATCATTAATACTGTTTCACAGTTGATTTAAAGTGAGTAGTTCACTTCAACATTTAAAAATGGTTTGAACTAAACGCACTTTGATTATCAAGACATTTGTAAAATAGTAATGATAATAAAAAGAGAGTGTTCTTTCAATTGATCAGTGCAGGACACTTAGAAAGTCTCTGGATGGACTTGATTTTGTGTTTCTGGACTCAAATCAATGAAATACAGTTCTTGTCCCAGGAAGGCCCTCAAGGTCAGGATTTGACCTGAGGCTTAGTTCACTACATCTGTACTCATCCCTTTAGTTGGCAGCTCAGAACACCACATACAGAACACCATGGACTTTGTGGACAAGGTGAGGGATGTCATCATGGAGACTGATGAAACAATGGTCTCTTTTGATGTCACATCGCTCTTTACGTGCATTCCTGTTGATGAGGCAGTAGAGGTGGTCAGTTTAAAATTAAAATCAGACACCACTCTGAGCAGCAGGACCACGCTTTCCACAGAACAACTGTGTCAACTCTTGAAACTGTGCCTGCAGTCAACCTACTTCACATATGGGGAGCAATATTATAGGCAGAAACATGGGTGTGCTATGGGGTCTCCAGTTTCTCCTATTGTTGCCAACCTGTACATGGAGGAGGTAGAAAAGAGAGCCTTGACGTCCTTTTCAGGGACACCACCAAGTCATTGGTTCAGGTATGTTGACGACACCTGGGTTAAAATTAAATCTCAGGAAGTCCAACATTTTACTGACCACATCAACTCTGTGGATAAATACAAGTTCACAAGAGAAGATGTAAAAAATGGCAGGTTGGCTTTCTTGGACTGTGAGGTCTCAGTCTCTGATAGAGGACATTTGCAAACTGAGGTGTACCGCAAACCCACCCACACAGACCAGTATTTGCAGTTTGACTCCCATCACCCTTTGGAGCACAAGTTAGGAGTCATCAGGACTCTGTACCACAGAGCAGACAGCGTCCCCACTAGCTCAGGAGCCAGGCAGAAGGAGAAATCCTACACAAGACAGGCTCTAGAGCAATGTGGATATCCTAACTGGGCCTTCCTGAAAGCAGAGAAGAAACCCAAACAGGACTCCAGTCAGCCATCAGGTGAAAAGGAGGAACCCAGACCCAGACCAGTGGTCATTCCATATGTTGAGGGAGTATCAGAGAAACTGAGACGTTTGTTTTCTAAACATAACGTCCCAGTGGCTTTTAAACCCCAAAATACATTAAAGACTGGTTCATCCCAAAGATCCAGTCCCCCGGCACAAACAGAGTAATATTGTGTATGCTGTTCAGAGTCAGGAGGTGATCAGTCTTACATCGGGGAAACTAAACAGCCACTGGCCAAAAGGATGGACCAGCACAGAAGATCAACAACATCAGGCCAGGACTCTGTGGTCTACACTCATCTCCAGGCCAGTGGTCACTCTTTCAAGGATGAAGATGTTCACATCCTGGACAGAGAGGAACGATGGTTTGAGAGAGGAGTAAAGGAGGCCATCTTTGTGAAAAGAAATCGTCCATCATTAAACAGGGGTGGAGGCCTCCGGGTTCAACTGTCCCCCTCTTACAATGCTGTGATTGCTAGTATCACTCAGCCCTCTGTGAATAGTAAACAGCCATCAGTGTGCTAATGATCCATTGTTAGGCTGATGGTCCTTCTTGAGCATGTGATCAGCTGGTTTTGGTTGTCAGCAGCAAAACTGGTTGATCCACTCTGAGAAGGTGCTATTTAAGAGACTGAGCTGAATACAGCACCTCAGACTGAAGAAGTCTCTTGGATGAAAGACGAAAAGTTTCTACATTTTTTTTGTTGTTTTGCTTTGATTTGTTTTTTTGAATGTCCAGAGGACCAGATTGAACTTTTTTAGAGTGATGAACAAAGCAAGTTTTGTTTTTTAGTTACATTTTATCAGTTTAAATATTTCTAGTAGCTTTACTAAACAACAGTTTTAACATATCTTAAAATGATTCAGTGCCTCATCAAAGTTTATGCAAAAACACCCAAAATGTAAAATGAGTTTGTGTATCAAATATTTTTCTGTCACTCTCAGATAAATGAACTCCTAACATTATAATATTTATCTGTTGTTCCCCAAATTAAAATAGTGTAAAGCTGCTTAAAGTCACGCCACCTCCAGCAGCTCGGACAGAAACATAATGCTTACACACCCATGCTTCATTATTTATAACTGTTTATCAGAAACTAGAAGACATTGTGAGAGTACAGCCTTCTGCAGCTTCCGGATCCAAGATGGTTGTCAGTCAACCACACCTGCAGGTCATCCCACTAACGAGGATCCCTCGCTACTTAAGGCTGCAGTTGAGCTCTACTCTCTGCTGGAGCATTGCCCATGCTACATTCTGGCCTAGTTGTTACAGTATTTTCTGCCGTACACGTTGCACCGCCTTATAAGTTACATCAGTCCAAATATGTCTAATAAAGTGGAAAAATTTAACAAGCACCTAAATTATTTGTTTGCTCAACATTACAACAAAGGTGTTTCTCAGTTGAGCTTTTACTTAATAAATGCACTTCAATGGTCAAATTAGTTGCATTTTGACAGGGTGCAAAATTAAGCTGATTTGATGTTTGCTCCAGGCGAGCTGGATGAAGGTGACAGGTTATGGCAAGCCAATTGTGTCATTAATAGCCACTTTTACCTATTACATAACACAATGGCATGCCATACTACTCGAGTGCCATCTAGTGGCTGAAAATGGTACTGTTCAATATTTTCAGTCAGAATGAATGAAAATGGTCATATCTCAGCCAAAAATTGGTTTATAAATGTGGGGAAAAATCTATAATTACGTCACTTCGGCGTATAAGTCGCAGGGCGTTTAAATTACGCAAAAAAAAAAAAAAAAAGAGACCCAAACAAAAACGCGACTTATAGGGTGAAAAATATGGTATCTTGTGTGAAACTGACTAACGCATCTCTTCGTGCTACAGCTTACCTGTGTTCCCTCGAGTGCCTCAGCATCCTGCTCTTCCTGGACTCGTGTCTCCTCGTGCTCCTTGCCCTCCAACCACTTGCCTGCTTCCTTCATGCCTACAGCCTGGAAGCTCCTTGGATAGACCTCCCAAGACGAGTCAAGACTCCAAGACCGTTAGACAAAAAGAAAAACATTTCAAAGATTATCCTCCAACCTTAACACCTACCTGACCCATCTCCTTGCTCCTCAGGGGTTCTAGAGGATCTCCATTGCATTGTTTCATTCACTGTAAAATATAAACACCATTAAACCTTTTACTTGTGGAGTCTTGACTCGTTCCCATCTAGTACTATCTGGGTTCCGTGAGAATATAAACAAAGATGGCCTCCGGGGCCCGCCCTCTCCCTCGTCTACTCCTCTGAGACAGACATGACAAAGTGGTTCAAAATTGAAGTGAATTAAACTCTTTAAATACATTTTGCATGGACAAGAAAAAAAGTTAAACCGTTGTATTCATGCTTTATTGAAGTAGAAACTGATTCAAACCTAATTAGGTTTATATTCTAGTAATTTGTATTAGTTTATGCACTGATACAAATACAGACATCCTGTTTTTCTGCATACTAAGCTTTGTTTGGATTTAAGCTGGTGCAGAAGACAGACCAAGTGGGACTCTGGTGAAGCTCAGATAACGCTGCAGACTCTATATTTTCATTTCCACCTGTCAAACAGAGACAAGGCTTTCTATTCTCTCTAATACAAACTCCTTTTACCTGACTTGCAGGATTACTGTACTTTTGGGGTCAGTTGTCTCAGTCAGGAGGAAAAGGGAAACTACCAGCTCTCTTGCTCAGCATTTTTAAGTAAATATAAAGCTATGTAAAAAAAAAAAAAAAAAACCTTTAAAAGGCGATAACGCTGCTTTAAGGCCCTTTAACCTATAAAAAAGGCAATTTAAAAACACTTGAAAAAAGAAACACTACAAACATGAGCTGGATCCTTTTTTTTATTTTGGTGCCAAGGTAATCAACACAACGATAATCAGTAGATGCCGGATGAACAAATGTCTGCCCGCAGGCGCTCACACTCTGTGTTTTCTGTGTTGCAGGTAGTACAGTGGCAGCTTCTGGCCACAGGGTAGGTAACGGCCACCGGGCACCCGTCGATATGTTTCACCTCATAGGACCAGTCCCCGTTGCAGGTGTGCTGTTCAGGTGGGTCCACATGGTTGTCGTAGATGGGGTCCTGGAGCAGCAGAAATAAAAACAAGTAATGATTCAGTCTCACACACAGTGGAAGGTTTTTTTAGTCTGAAAAACAAAATGTGAAAGAGTGGTATACTTTCATTATTTGGCAGCTGTTTTCTTCACCTGTAAGATGATGAAAAATAGGACAGAAGAATGCTAACTTATCTAACAAAGTTAAGTCAGGTCCTTTGGATGGATTAAAAATAAAAAGTAAATAAAAAACTTGTTGAGAAGCTATAACGAACTGGGTCTTATAAATGACACCTTCTTGTAATGGATCAACCAGTCTGACATAACCAGCTAATTTATAATCTGTGTTATTTATTTGGTTTTATATTGCCCACCACTTTCAGGCTAGATTTTTAGACAAAGATCACTTTATGTTGAAAATTACTCTCACCTACAGTCATAACAAAACAAATCACAACGCTGGTGAAACTGTTTGAGTCATAGCCATATTTTGATTACCTTATTTTTCAGACTATAAGGAGCACTTAAAATCCTTTAATTTTCTCAAAAATCAACAGTGAGCCTTTTGTATTAATTCTGGTTGTGCTTACTGAACTCAAACCGATTTTATGTGGATATTGTGAACGAGTTGAATAAAGTTCGACTTATCGGACTGTTTAGTTTTGCTTAATGCACCTTATAATCCAGTGCGTCTTATGTATGAAAACGGACCCGTTCATTGATATTGCGTCTTACAACCTGAAAAATACGGTAGGTAATGTTGATTGGCTGTGGTGGCCACCTTAAATCAGATTGACTCCAAAAGTTAATAAGGTGTACATGTACAGCTAATAATTACATTCTAAAAGTTTCAGTTTCATTAAAACATGTTTAGTGCTTCACGACAACCACATAAAATATTAACCTATCTGAAAAACTGAGTGAACTCTACTTTATTTTTGTGTTTTAATTTCTGTTAGCTGTGGCAGCCATATTTACCTGGGCTAGCTTAAAAGCTAATCACTTGCAGAGCTACATCCAGTACTTATTTTAAGAAAGCTTCAATTTAATTGATGCTGTGATTCATGAGATATTTTGCCAAGACATGGAGTTGACTTCAAAAAGTTAATGTCAAAATTTTAACCAAAGATCTTGCACATGATCTACATGCACACAATATGTTTTGGGGATCAGTCTCAGCTACCGCCAAGCCAGATTTTAGATCAGTATCTGTAAAAATGGTGGAGTTCTAGTAAATGTTATATGTTTTATTATCAGTTGGTTGTGGCAGCCATGTTGATTCAGGCTGTCTCCAAAGGTTGAACACTTGTAGATGAACATCCAACGATTATTGTCTGCAAGTCTTATTAAAATATTTCTAATGGTTCAAAAAATGTTTTGATAACAGAACTTTAAACACACACAGAGTAAAAACATTAGCATTCACCTTCATCTTTTTACAGTGGGCAACTTCTAAAACGTGACCAAATAAAATAAAAAATACAGTTTGAGAAACTCCCTAAAGCTTGACTGTACAAGTAATCAATATTGGTCTAAAAACCAACCAAACGTCTTTACTGTAAAAACCTGCGTCAGAGTTACTGAACACGTTGAAGAGCAGAACAAAAGAGCAGAACTCAGATAAAAGTTCTGTCATGAGTTTAAGTCTGAACCCTCCGTCACCTCTTGATAGCACAGGCCTTCACATATGGTGGTGTGGATGAACTTGACAGCGTTGCAGCTCTCCACGGGGATGCTGACGTTTTTCAGATGACAGATGAATCTGCAGCCCTGCCCCACCTCCGCCAGCACCAGCAGCGCTGCCATGACAACCAGCTGCATCCTCCGGCGGGTGCAGCACAGACGCCTGCTGCAAGGAGATCACATCTCAGATAAGGCACGATCGAACCGGACCAGAAGGTCCAACACACTGATCTGAATGAAAAGCAGCGCTTTCAGTGGATCGTGAAGTTTATGGAGCCTGATTTTTATACACTCTTTTAAAAGTGGTGCAATAATAGAACAGAAAAGAAACATTATTATTATTTCTAATAACTTTAATTCACTAAACAGATATTTTTGAATCATCTTGCATAAAGAGCTGACTTTCTTAGAAAGTATAAACTTTGTTTCTATGCTTTAACAAAAATCATGACTGACTGAGGAGAGAAGTTAGAACAGCATCACCAGCTCTGATGGCTCTGTGGTTATTAAGAGTTGGAAGCATAATGTTTGCCAAGTACTGTTGGAGTAAACAATTGCTTGTTTACAGTGGTCTTTAATTAAAAATGCCTTTTTCAAAGCTCAAAGTCATTTAATAAAACTGATCTTATGGTTTTATCTCAATTCTCAGTCACTCTAAGCTAGTGGTTCTCAAACTGGTGTCTCCAGACCCCTGGGGGTCTGTGTCTGGGTCTTAAAATACACCAAAATGCAGGAAATCTTATCTATTCAAAATTTTCTGGGGGAGCCCCTGCCCTCTATTTGCATTCTGACATCGATCGGTTTACAAATTAAGCCCTGTTACTTGGCATGACTACTACTACAATGATGCATTAATAATGGAAATGAAGATTGTTAACTTTCGAATTGGTGAATTTTTGTTTTTAAATTTTTTGTGTTTTAAAGTATTTCATCATTTTTTAATGCTTGTAAAATGTTGTTATTGAGATAGTTGATTTGAATTTTTATATACTGCTTTTGTTTTTATCTTAGGTATTTTATTACGTCTTTTTGTTGGTGTGGGCTCCAGGAAGAATAATCTCTACTATGGTAGAAACTAATGGGGATCCTTAAATATACAATTACATTAAACTACAGCTGTTACAATTATTCAGTTTTATTTAAAGAGTTTTTTGTAATAATTTGAAGAAGAGGTAATACATTTATTATGTTCATTAAGTGAACAGGTACAGTTTTAAAGTGGTTTTTGATACTGTTCATTTTCTCAAAATTGTAATTTTTGGAAGTTGAAATTAAAAATTTTGTTAATTGTGTCCTGAGTGAAAACTACCCCATGTTTAAAAGTATAAAAATTGTATTAACATTATTAAAGAACATATCTTAAGTATTTACGATACACAAATATTTGCATTGCATTAAATAGACAAATAAAAGAAAATTATTTAATAAACATGAGAGTTATGAGGGGGTCCCTGAAACTTTTTCTCCCCTGTAAGGGGTCCCTGAACCCAAAGAGTATGAGAACCCCTGCTCTAAGTGACGTTTAAATACTTGTACAGTATTAACAAACAAAACAACAACAAAAAAATGGTTTCAAAATATCAATGAAAGCAATTAGTACATTTAAAATTAACCAGACAAATATGAACAGCAAAATGATTCATTGGGCCTTTTCATTAGATGATCAGTATAAATAAGATGGAATAAATAATTAAGAAGAAAGATGATCAAGAATGGGAGGGGTTATATATGTTTTTAAGTCGGACTCCTCTGTGTGCACATCAATCCCAGCTTCAGTCAGTCTAACTCAGACTGAACCATTTATGACTATGAACAAAGACAATCTTTACATCTGAACATCTTACCTGTAGAGCTCCGGTATAGAACGTTGAAAGCGCTGCCTCTTCCGTCGCTCTCTGAACACCTGAGACTGCTTCAGCTCTTTAAATACTGCTGCTCATAATCCATTTAATCTGCTCGGCCTTGCCTCAGTTCTGTATCTCCTGTCTGTTGTGGACTTGAAGCCAGTCCCCGTCTTTTTCCTGTCAACAGCTCAGGGGTGACACGTGGCTCAAGGCCTTCCCTCCTACACACGAGGAGCAAATCTTCATCATCGGGTTTGGATTACAAGAATGGACGAAACATTAAAACACACTGGGCCCCCACGGTCAGATGGAAAACACTGATAAGTCAGGCAGTAATTAATTAGACACGCTCCACCTTTGTTGCGTTTGGTGACATGTTTTACCCATAAGAAATAAACATTATCTGTGTGTCTAAATATATAATGTAGCCAGTGGGAGTTCATCCACTTTAATTTGAAATGATGTCAGAAATGATTTGAGAGGAAACACATCTTACAAGGTATCAAAGTCAAAGTCACTTTATTGCCAAAAGCTGCAATATGTACAGGACATACACAGGATTGAAATTACATTTCTCTCAGACCCCGGTGCAACAATAATAACCATTTAACATTAAAACATTTATTAAACATAAGCATAAAATGAAATAATAAAAGCATGATACTGTCTTAAATTGTACTATACGATATAAAAATATTTTAAAAAGTATATCTATAAAATAAAATGAAATGAAGGTCGTGACATTGATATTTGTAGTGAGTGGCAAAGCAGCACATGAAGTGAATGTACACAGTGTATGTATGAAGTCCTTGATATTGGCGTAGGTAAAGTGACATATGCAATAAGACTAGTAAAAATATATATTTGTATATCAGCAGTAGTGTAATATAAGCAGCAGTGTGAGTATAAACAGTAGTGCAAATGTAAACAGTAGTATGAATAAAAATAGTAGTGCAAATGTAAACAGTAGTATGAATAAAAATAGTAGTGCAAATGTAAACAGTAGTATGAGTATAAACAGTAGTGCATATGTAAACAGTAGTATGAATAAAAACAGTAGTATGAATATGAACAGTGGTATGAATAAAAACAGTAGTATGAATATGAACAGTGGTATGAATATAAACAGTAGTATGAATATGAACAGTGGTATGAATATAAACAGTAGTATGAATATGAACAGTAGTTTGAATATGAACAATAATATGAATATAAACAGTAGTTGGAATATAAACAGTAGTGCAAATTGAATGAGCACATGAGCATGTGTCGAGTGTATAACCTGTTTTTTAATAATGCAGAGTTCAGTGTTAGAAAGTTTTTGTGTTGTGTGGAAATGTGTGAAAGTTTTGTGTGTTAAGGCGGTACAAGAGGGAGGGGAGGCAGAGCAGGCAGAGAGTTCAGCATCCTGACTGCCTGATGAACAGAGCTGTCTCGCAGTCTGCTAGTTCGAGCCTGGAGACTCCGCAGTCTCCTCCCTGATGGCAGCAGGCTGAAGAAGCTGTGTAGTGGGTGTGTGGGATCACCTGCCATGCAGAGGGCTTTCCGAGTGAGGCGGGTACTGTGTAAGTCATGTAGTGAGGGGAAGGAGGTGCCGACGATCTTCTCGGCTGCTCTCTGATGCATCCTGATGCATGCTCAATAATCCAGATAGAAAAATCTAAAAATGTTAAATATGGCCCTCTGGACATTCAAAAAACAAAACAAAGCAAAACACCAACAACAACAAAAATGTAGAAACGTTTCGTCTTTCATCCGAAAGACTTCCTCAGTCTGAGATGCTGTATTCAGCTCAGTCTCTTAAATAGCACCTTCTCAGAGTGGATCAACCAGTTTGCTGCTGACAACCAAAACCAGCTGCTCACATGATAAAGAAGGACCATCAGCCTAACAATGGATCATTGGCACACTGATGGCTGTTTACTATTCAAAGGGGGTTGAGTGACACTAGCAATAACAGCATTGTAAGAGGGGGACAGTTTAACCCGGAGGCCTCCAACCCTGTTTAATGATGGACAATTTATTTTCACAAAGATGGCCTCCTTTACTCCTCTCTCAAACCATCTGTGTTCTCGGTCCAAAATGTGCACATTTTGGACCGAGAACACAGATGGTTTGAGAGGGGGGGTGAAGGAAGCAATTTATGTAAAAAGAGAAAAGCCGTCTCTTAACAGAGGAGGAGGCCTCAGATTTCCACTTTCAAAAACATATAATGCAACTTTAAAACAGATTCCCAGCCGTTTTTCACACCTGATGGGAACAGAGGGGCCTCGACTGTGAATTAGAGGAACAAAGACCTACTGTTTAGGTTTTTTTAGGTGTGAACTGCCAATCTACATATACAGTATGTGTGTGTGTCTTATCTCACTCAGCCTTATAACCTGTATCTCTCACTCTCTGCTCTTTGAATTGAGAAAGCTCCTCGGATGAGGAGCGAAACGTCTTCTGTTACAAATGAAGTCCAGTTGTTTTTGTATTGAACGCTTTTTGAATTCACGTTTAACTTACTAATCACTCATCATCACCATCACAATTCCAATAACAACACATTCAGTGTAGGACAACACTCCAGTAGTCAATTACATGCCAAGGATACAGAAAAGTGAGTGAAGATTTTATCTGACAGACAGCTCACCCAGCCAGAGACAGATATTCTTGCCAGGGGACTGAAATTTGCGGTTGCACCAAGTTGACTTCCTCAGGTGGAGATGATCACAGCCACAGAATCAGCCATTCGCAACAAAAAATTAAAGAGGGTGAAGCAGAACAACTCAGAATCAAAGTTTCAGCCTGTCTCAGCAATGCCAAACCACCACCTTCCAACATCAGTAGAGGAGAGGGATGCACTCACGACTCTTGGCAAGGACAAAACCATCATCATTCTCCCAGCAGACAAGGTGCACAGTGATTTTGAACCAGAAAGACTATCATGAGAAAGTTATGACACTCCTTAGTGACTTAACCTCTTATGAAGCTCTGAAAATAGATCCAGAAAGTGGTTACAAGAAGAAGTTGATAGATTGCCTGAAAATTTTGGAACAGGACAAGGCTATTTACCGTATTCTGTACCACAGACTGTACCCAGGGGAGGCCACACCTAATCTGTATGGTTTATTTAAAATTCACAAACAAGGTCTACCTTTAAGACCAATTGTTAGCATGATTAACTCTGTCACTTACAACGTTTCCAAATATCTAGCGTCTGTACTCATCCCTTTAGTTGGCAGCTCAGAACATCACATACAGAACACCATGGACTTTGTGGATAAGGTGAGGGATGTTATCATGGCGACTGATGAAACA